CCAGTATCTTTGAGTGGTAATTTGATGAGAAATGATCATGCTCTTTCAGTTAAAAAATTTACATCTAACAATGTTTGCTGTCAAAAATTGAGAGATTGGTTTTCCAAAAAAAAAAAAAAATCTAGCAATTTCATCATAGAACAACAAATACCACAAAAAATAGTATTTACAAACAGATTTATACTTAAGGCTATATGTAACCTTACTGTGATATACATCTCCTGAAGAGTTCCAAACAAAGAAACCAGTAATATACCTTTCAGCAAAATCATGATTTGAACTTTAAAATTGACCGAATGGCTCATGAGAAAACACAAAAAGCGATGACAAGTGAGAACCACCAAGGTACACAAATAGTGATGACAATTAAGTGAGAAATGCCTAAGAGGTACACAAATTGTGATGACATCCCTTAGAAATCTAGTTGCCAAGGTGAAAGACAAGTATATACATCAGTGTGCTATCCTGATGCTTGAAAGGTGCCATAACAGATGCAAGTACAGATAATGCTATAGTCCTTTGCCGAATAGCATGTTTTTTCTTTTGAGAAAAAAAATCTAAGGGAAGTAACTCTTACACAACCCTGGTATATCATGATTAGAGTGATAAGTTTTATGAATTTTAAGATAAAATATGTTTTTATATATCAATTTATTCATATTGACTTATTTCACAATAGAGATAAAAATACTGTTTGAATTACAAATTTAACAGTCGGCACAGCCCGATATACGAATGTTTATAACCCTGGCCTTTTGAAAAATGTTTCAAACACGCTTCAACTACTAATGCAAGGTATTGAATTATATATGATATGGCAGGTCGAAAAAAAAAAAGAAGATAGTGTATCAGCCCGGCATTTTATTGGTTAAAAAACATGAGACTCCAGTTTAAAATATCAATGAAATTAATAATTCAAGTGTTTAGTAAACTAGATGCAGAAACGGTGTTCACTTGCGGTGTCGTATCGTAATGAAGCAGATTTTACAATACATGTCCTATCTTGATGCAAAAATCAATTGTACCGTTGTGTTCAATTCAATTGAATATTCCAGTTGATACTTAAGAATAAATACATTGACGGAGCAATTGTTAATGTCAGTCCCTGATGTCCTGTAGTGGTGGTACGTTGAAATTTCTATCACTGGAGTTACAGTTTTACAGTGATCATTCACAGTGAATATTCTGGAAAATTGGAAAAAAAATATCTGACATACTTCAAACATCTGAATAACAAATCTGTTTATTTATTTTGTCACGACAAGATTGCATGTTGACACAACTTCATCATCAATTTCAATGGTATCAAACAACAAACAAACGAAATGTCACCGCTAATTTAACTTCAATGAACGGAGAATCGTAAAACAGATATTGGTCTTGTCTGTCAGACATGATCAAGACACATCCATGCCAAATGTACTTATAAAGCTGTACATCTGATACGTAAACCTTCTTCATTTGAAATAAAGAAATAACTACTAAAGATTTTAGATTAAGGAAATACGAGAAGCCATTATGTGGATCGGTTTTGTTTCCGATAGCTAACCTATATGAGAAATTATTATCAGTAGATCTCTGATGAACCTTTGATAAATTTTTTATGGCATTGATTTTTTTAAAAAATTTACTCCCACTGATATGAAGACTATATAGTGAAATAAAACTTAAGCGTAAGTAGAAACTTCATTGATCATAATGATGGATTTCACTCCAGGGGTGAGATCTCCATAGTTTTACTGTCCAATTTACTACAGAATCATATTCCACTGGAAGTACAACATGTATATTTCTTTTATAGCTGATAATGCACTATTACTGTACATATTTCGTGATAATTCCTGATTGCTGTTTGTTATAAAAGGTTTATCATATAATCAACAAGTGACTGTTGTTTAAAATCAAATGCATGTGATATAATGTCATTAGCTGTGTAGTGCTGCTGATGCAGTAAAAACTTCAGAAAATGAAAAATACAACAATTGTAACAGTAAAATAAAAAATAAGAAATGATAACTGGACGACTCGTAAACTGACCAATACTCTAAACCTCCAAAATACTGACCCTCCTAAACTCTTAGTCTCCAAAACCCTATTTATTTATTTTCGTCTCTATTCATTTAACTGCTTCTATGTTCACTATTACAGCCTTTCAGTGGTATTCTAGTTATCACAGATTCTGACCACTTGCTGTGTGGTAAGCTTTACATAAATCTTGACCAATCAAGACTAAGTCTGATTGATGGAGTACCTACAATTGATTGGGTATTATGTTCAATCCAATCAGGGATTAGCCAATCACGTATAACCTTATATCTACTGGTTACTGGGTAAATATGGCAGACGTGTAAGGGGTTTGTGGGTATAATTAGCCTTGTAGTGCTATAATTACCCCGAGGAGATGACGGAGAGATGATGGTCAGTCCTTGAATCTGATGGATCGCGACAGGTAAGGTCAGATAGAGGCTGGCAAAGGACACCAAAAATGCCAATAACGAAAACAGGTGATGACGGAATTATCCTCCAGCTCCTTGTTTAATATAGATATGACAGTGAACACTGACAGTATGTTGTGCTGTAAAATTTTCAGCACATTGACAGTGAACACTGACAGTATGTTGTGCTGTAAAATTTTCAGCACATCTGACAGTAAACACTGACAGTATGTTGTGCTGTAAAATTTTCAGCACATCTGACAGTAAACACTGACAGTATGTTGTGCTGTTTTTCAGAACATTGACAGTGAACACTGACAGTATGTTGTGCTGTTTTTCAGAACATTGACAGTGAACACTGACAGTATGTTGTGCTGTTTTTCAGAACATTGACAGTGAACACTGACAGTATGTTGTGCTTTTTGAACATTGAATGTTGTGCTGTTTTTTTTACATGTTGTGCTGTTTTTCAGAACATTGACAGTGAACACTGACAGTATGTTGTGCTGTAAATTTTACAGCACACAGACATTATGTTCTGCTATAAATTTTACAGCATATTTGGTAGTGTTATAATGAAGCTATCAAAATATTGATAAACTAATATCATATCATATAATTATCACTAACCCAAATTTCTAAACAATGTTGTGTCATCTTCTCTACAATATATGTATCAGGATAGTAACAATATCTACATCTTTATAACAGATTATCAACAGATTCTGCTGTATTCTGTTGCCTGCTGTACCTGCACATGTTACCTGTGTGATACCTGCGCATGTTACCTGAACATTACCTGTACATTATATGTTCTTTGTAACAAGTCAGATCTCCCATAAACTTTGTGACTGACATTTATTACCCAGTGAAGTGATGGCAAACAATACAATGTTCAATACCACTTTTTAAAGATTTTTAAACATTGTGTCAAATGCAATATAACTACGGTTTTAAAAATATAAAAATCAATTCAAGCTCAAATAAATGATAAAACCTGATGTCAAAACCAGACTGTATAATGTTGGTATCGTCTCATTAAAAATTTATACAGAATGTGTCTGTCATGTGTCAGTCAACATCAGTTAAATTGGTCTAGGATATCCTTTGAATGAACAAAGAACTAACCATTCCTTTCAACCTATCACCTTGCTAAAAAATAATACAACTTCACCTATCGAAATATTGAAAAAATTATGGCTTCTTTTTAAAATTTTTGACAGTTGCGTCTTTCAAAAATAAAATTATTATCTCGAAAAGCAAACTAGGATTTTTATCTCTCTAATAATTACAGGTGAAAAGTTCACTGTTTTTCAATCAGTTGTTGTCTGTAATTGATCAATTTTCCTCATATTCGTTTTTTACCTAAAAATCATCACCTGATCACAAGTTGGATCAATTTGAACCTATTATGTTCATTATTCACTGTCAGAAATGTCATTACAGGTAGATAATTTTGACAATTAGAGCTTTCACAGAAAAGATTAGAGAACACTGTGTGCCCTGTTGATTCATGGTGTAAAACAAACAGAATAGATCCACATGTTTCATCAAAGCAATCTCAATCAAGCACAGGTAGTTTTAAGGTCATTAGTATGCTAATTAGTACGGTAAAACACAGGTGAGCACATGTACTTTCCTAATCAACAGCAGTGTAAATCGACACAAGTTAGTGCAAGCAACCTGAGAGGGTTTTTATTGTCACTGAATGACAGCTGTCCCACACTGTGGGATACTAGTCCAGCACAGAATAGTATACGTTCTAGAAGTTCGCAGCTAGCAATGACCATAGGGCATAACACAAACTAAACATTTACTGACAAACCAGCTGAAACTGTAAATTTGATCATTTTATTTTTATAAATCAAACCTTGTAATCTAACACCTATTCTGTTTTATTTGGTGAAAGCAAAAGAAAAAATAAATTGATCTCTTTGTGATTTCTTTGCCATCTTATGAAAGTGAAATAAAAGTCAGGTAAGAAAAACGCAATGAGATCAGCATCCTGTTTCTGACTGGTCAGTTCCAGTGTCACCAGTTCAAGCAGGTATGACACAGAAGTCTATATTGGTCAGAGTTGTCCATTAAACACCTAGGTATTGTGAGAGTAAGTATGCCTCACCTGTTTAAAATCCATGTTATGTTAAATTACCTCCCTGGAGTTATTTATAATTTGTAATCAACTGATAAATACATGACTACATTTCCGAGCTTTCATTTCTAAAACAATTGTTGCAAGTATCCCAGTGCAAATCTCTATTTTGAAATTTTCTAGATATAGCACATTTTCAAAACATCAAGCCCTATGAAATCTTATTTGTCAGCCTGCATTTGACAAGCTTATTTCTAATGTACACATTATCTTAAACACTAAATTTTCTTGTTTGACTCACTAAATTTTTAAATTGCTGAAAAATTCAAAAGATTTCCTTGTTAATTCTGTCCCTCACACCAACATGCTACTGATCTAAAAAGATCTCGTGAGATGCTGATCCCAGCATGTGTTGTAACTAACGCATCAATCACATAGTTCGTCAGCACAGGTAAAAAGGACCTGTGACTCACCCTTTTATGAAGGTGCAATTCTGCTGCAGGGCTGAGGAGGCTGTATGTCTCCATGGCGACCAAAAAGGAAGAATTAATGATGAGGTTACACATGATTATCAAAGGGACATGTTTGTTCTACAGCAGTATCAGTTCCTTTGTGTTTTACTGAAACAGGTGGGCACTGGACATTAATATGCTAATGACCCCCAGGTCAAGTTTTACTAACCATGGAATACTCAAATAATTTACACCCTGAAAACACTCCACATTGGATGATTAATATTCGGGTAATAAATTCATACATTTTATCACACACCAGACTTAATTAGGAAAACAATGGAACAATATCTCCAGTCATAACGTGACTAACTCCTGTATTCTAATTTGTCATAAAGTTACACACAAAGGAGACATCAAATCATCATAGCTTCAGGTTTCTCATGTTCTCAGGTCTAACTTTATTTGAAGAAATAAAACAAAATAGAATTGTGAGTTGAGAAGTGATTGTGTACAATTAGAGACCTGTAAGTCAGGAAGTAAAGAGAATAAAGTAGGACAGGATGAGGAACTATCAGTGACCTGTAAGTCAGAAAGAATAGAAAGTACAGTAGGACAGGATGAGGACACTAATAATGACCAGTAAGTCAGGAAGTATAGA